GGGTAGTTTTATTGCAGGTAACTATGCCAAAGGTCATGTTCCAAATAAGGCCAGGCATCCGTGCTTGGTGGCACTTTCCAGGTAAGTCAGGCAGAGAGCAGGATGTCCGTGCTGAGAAAGGGAGTCCTTCCATATAACACTGAGCCCCTTAGAGCTATCCAGACATGGAGGACTACAACCTTAGCAGCAGGGTCCCCCAACAGGGCACCATCTTGGACAGGAGCCATGACCAGAGCATGGCATGCTGGGTTCATGAGAATGAATGGCCTGGCATTTACCGACTTGGGGTGAGACTGCAGGCCCACGAGGCATGGGTGAAAGCTAGTGGTGACTATAGGCAGGCTGTGGGAGTGATCTGGAGTGGCGGGCTCATGATCTGGACTGGCAGGCTCTGAACCGTGGTGCTGGGCACCGGGAGTTTTTTTATTTGCAAATCTCTCCCCTCCCTGCCCCAAGAGCATAAACCATAATAAATTCACACAAAAAATATGTTATATGGTTCACCTGATAGTGTAAGAGACCTCGCGAGAACTCGGGCAACAGCCTGCATGTATGCAAGTGTGCTACTTGTGTGCAGTGCCTGTGGAGGACAGAAGGTGTTGGTTTGTTGCGAGCCGGGACTCTGCCAGCAGAGTCCCGGAAAGACGACACATGCACCAAGGTGAGGTTCAAGCTTCTGTTTCTCTTGCATCCTTTATTCTCTCTCTTTCATTATCTCATACACTATGATGCTGCTTCTGTTCTATTCTATTCTATTATATCTCTCACTCTTTATTCTCTCTATGATGCTGTTCGTAGGTCCTATATCTGTCTCTGTCTGTGTCTCTGTCTCTGTCCTTATGATGCTGTGTCCTTATGATGCTGTCTCTGTCTGTCTGTCTGTCTGTGTCTCTGTCTGTCTTCTATTCTATTATATCTCTCACTTCATTCTCTCTCACTATGATGCTGTTCGTAGGTCTTCTGAGCCACCGCACAGAGCTGGGTACCAAGTGCTTGTCTCTTTGTAAGTCATTCCCCGCCCCCCCCCAAAGGGCATAAACCATAAAAAATTCACCTTAAAATATGTTATATGATTTGTCTGATAGTGCAAGGGACCCCGAGAGAACTCAGGCGACAAAATTGGTGCAAGTTGGCAGGATGAAGTTGCTAAAAATGACAAACCATGGAAGCTTGAAAAAAGCTAGAGAGCTGATGGGGGCACTGATCTGGTTTTTACAATGGATTATAAAAATCTGTAACTAAAAAGGGGCTGGCCATGCAGAAGTGTGGGCCACAGCTGTGTTGTAAATGTGGGGGTATGTTGTGGGTATGTGAAGATTTGTTAAAGGTTGTCCAGAGGCTAGAAAATCTTTTACCAGCTCTGGACACAAAGGAGCACCCAGAGAGGGGGTGTGTCCACTTTGCATAATAAAAGATGCGCCCCAGGCAGGAGAAGCTGAAAAAGCCTGTAGGTCCTAGGAGATCCAGTTGCAGAGCTTGAGTGAGGAAAAAAAGCTGGGCATTTTAACTTGTGTAAGGTCCAAGGACTCAGAGGAAAAGACAGATAATAGTAAAAAAAAAAAAAAAAGATGACCTAAAAATAAAGGTAGCTAAAGCTGCCCCTCAGATTCAACCATTGATACAAAAATTTTAAAAAGCTAACAGTGCTTTAGCTAAGAAACATTCCACACTGGCGCTGTCATACATACAACATACATACAACTGACAAATTTCTAATTGGATAAGGCCCACTCTTAGGGATGGAACACACACCTGGTGCTGTAGGCCAGGCCAATGCCTTGTGTCAAGAAAGGCTACAGGCCCTAGTGGGGAAGCCATCACAAGTATACTGTTTAATGAATATAGTACACCTACTGGGATATTGTCTAGGCATTTGTATTTACATTCATGTTTGTTTAAATGTGTCTACTTCCTTCCATAATAGAAGAAACACCACTGAGACAGATCAATGGCCATGGCTTAAAGACAAATAATGAGGCGACCCAAGAAGTCATTATCTCATCATGATATGAGAGCGATCACCCTACATCTGTCACCCGCTCCAAGGCTCAGGGACCTTAGTGGAAGATTGGTGGAAAGATTGTAAGAGCAGAGGAAAGGGGTGGAGTGTCGCCCAGGGGCCTTGTTCCCCCAAGGGGCAGGACCTGCTGTGGAGAATTGACTGAGGACAACTAGCCACAGGGGGAGGGGCTTTGGGGCACTGTGGGGTCTCTCCCTCCCCTCGTGGGTCTTTGGTCACTGGTCCACAAGGACAAAGGGAGCAGAAGCGACGAACAGGGTCAGGACAGCCAGTGAGCACTATGGAAAAAGACTTTCCATGGAGGCAGATTCAGTGATACAGCTCCATTTATTCAGTGAGGATCAGGGAAAATATAGTGTGGAGGCAGCAGCCAAAGCTTCAGCTGATAGGTGCTCATAGTATGCTTTATTTACATGTGGTAGGGGGATCCTATCATCCAACTATAGGGCAATGCCTAATTATCATATAGAAAAAAACTAGGGGTAGTTTTATTGCAGGTAACTATGCCAAAGGTCATGTTCCAAATAAGGTCAGGCATCCGTGCTTGGTGGCACTTTCCAGGTAAGTCAGGCAGAGAGCAGGA